TGCGCGAATCTTATCTACAATTCAAAGATGAGTGATGACTCACACGTAACACACAACGAACAGAACGTGAGAAAATTTAATTGAGCGCCAGAGAAAGAAAATGCGGATGGGGTGGTTAATCGTATTTATTCAAGGACTTAAACATCTCATTTGATTTTTCCTCCGTGCGCTGTGAATGAGCCAATGGTAAATGTTAGTTCAAAGTGGCTATGACTTGTTTATATGAGTTTCTTAACAGATATTTCCTATAGTGAATATCATATTATGACAAATTGCCGCGTCATACAAGAGCACGTTCCTTAATATCTACACTTTTACTTCCCCATTGATATAATCCTTATCCGTATGTCTTGCGTATTTTTTCTGAAAAGAAAATAATGTAACGCACAAATTACGAACGAAAAATTGTGGTTTAATTAGTTTCGAGGATTAAATTTCATCTTTCCAGGAAAATTCTACTAAAATATGTGATTTTGCGACTAAAATCACGTACAGTCATAAATCTGCCGAATCATTTTGATAAAATTTGCATCACAAGAATATTAAATAACCTAGTGTCGACGCCACTTCAAACTGATACTCTTAAATTTAGAATCAGATCGTGCTGGCAGAATATTCGACAATTAAAAAATAACATGAAAATGAAAAATCATATTTCCTTCATTTTCGTGCCAATCGCTGTTGACAGAAAATGAAATAGACTACAGATTGTTTTCTAAGGCTGACATCATTTTCATTTTTATTCAAAGATCACCCCGTATAATTAGCAATCAAATGTGAAAATAAGATGAAAAGGTGGTTTTTCCCCATCACTCATCAACAAACTGTATTTATAATGAAATTGCATAGGGTAATCACATTGCAATCGACAGATTATTACATTATCAAAGTTTAAACTATTTAGAATCAAGCGTTAAAACAAACTGTGAATCTTTGCTCACAACTGAATTACTTAAATGAAGCCTTAGTGGCAAATTCAGATCATCCCACAGACAACTCGTTTCAATAAAGGTATGAGGGCTTTTCTCATGTAATCATACTTGGTGGTTGATTTCTGGTAAACGGGCCTTTGCAGCCGTTCCTTGGAATGTCACGCAGCACTCACTCAACACTCTCCCTCTTCTTATTTATGGGGGGGGGGGGGGTGGGGGAGGGTAGGGAGGGGAATGCTCTCCTAGAATCCTTTTCAAATGTCAAGTACAGGTATCCTTATCTATTTCCGGTCGGTATGTCTGTAATGCTTTTCATTACCTGTGTTCTGTAGGTTAAAGCTTTTAACCTTCAACAACATACTTAGTTTGTTGTCAGAACTCTGTTTTATAAGGACATGATGTTTTTTTTCTTTCGTGTGTTCACAACGTAAAAACTTAGCACTCACCGTGAAGAATCAAACTTCAGACCATCGGATTCCGCCCGCCGATACTCACCATTGAGTTACAGTGACTCTGCAGTGAGCAAGGCCGTCACGAGGTACTGGGTAATTTAATATTATCAACTGAGTTGATAAGGTAAATTAACCACCGTGAAGAGTTTCAAAGCTGACGTTTTAAGCGTTAGCCCTTCGTCAGAGCGACTCCCTCTTATGCTCTCCCACCGACGCAGCACCACAGTTTCTTTGGAAACTTACCCCCTTTATTCAACACGAGGTCCGTTTGTTTTCTTTCAGTCATCCGTCAATGATAACAGATCCAGCTTTAGCTCACTTCTCTGCAGCTTGCTAATGAGGTCGACGGGGTGAAATAGTTGAGAATTTTTTCTTGTGTGGGGATTATTTCCGTAATTGAACGAGGTAGCCACCCTGTTTCAGGTATGCGAAGAGGTTGATCAGAGGATATCTCTTCTTCTCGTATTGTTAACCATTTACGCTAGCCTGATTTGCGTATGCTTATCGATATTTACCTACCTGTTGAGCTCTAAGTAAAGCAGACTGAACCATAAAGATTGGCCATCAAAGCAAAGGACTTTTCAATTAGTAGAGGTTGAGGCTATAAAAAGCAGAAGCTTTTAACAAGGTCATACCAAAGTCAAGTGTCCATTAAGGAGCAAACATATGTTTAAAATAGGCACGCTGTTGGTATTTTTGGTTACCTTTCATTTCGTTGATCATCAGGAAATGCAAGCTGGCAGTGTTTTTCGTTTCTACCAGTTGTATTAATCATATAGTTTCCACTGGACCCTAAAACTAAAAATTGGTACGTACATATTATTGTTTTTCTTCCATTGTTTTTCGGATTAATACACCGTAGTAGCTCTAACGAAAGGGAACATTTCAAGACAACTTTAATGAATGATGTAGATCTAAGAATCCTCACGTGTGGCACTACAGCAAAGTAAGAATGATATAACTCACTCAAGGTCTAAAACTCTTAGTCGTCGGTCTCAAAGGAATGGGATTCAATCAGTCCTTAATTAAATTTACACTTTTGACATTGCCGGCTGATCTCAGTAGTGTCACAGTGTTGCACGGTTGTCATAAATGGACTAGCTACCATTGGGTTTAGTTCTTTTAAGGAGGGGTTCAGCTTAACTCATTGGTCGAACATGGAACGACTCTAATTTATCTTTTTCCTTGTCCTACTCTTTTTAAACATCTCTTTCGTGACGAAGGGCTAGCACACAAACGTCAGCTTTAGAATCTTGTTACGCTGACCAAGTCGCATTATCAACTCATTCCCCCCGATATATGCCGAGCACATATTTGCCCCCTCTAATTCAAAAGCTCTTTTTCAGAATAGAGGAATTAACTCAACAATTCAGCTGCCTGGTTTCCTTCGAGTTTAATTTTTTGACAGACTGATTGCTGTCTCAAATTTCTCCTAATTGGCATGAATATTTGGAAAGCTTCTCCATCTAACCATCCTCTTAACCAATTAGCAGAGACTCACGTTTTCCCCCGTTTTAAGCGTGTGTTTGGTTTGACTTTGAGCTGCAATCGGCTTCCTTTTAGGCTGTCTTTCCTTCTGATTGGTTGCTGCAGTGACGTTGGTTTTCGTTGTACAACATGCACTAAATCGAAATGCGCTATAAAGTTTAAACTTCTTGTTCAAAATAGTGTTTACAGAGGATTAGTTCCTAGGTATACGCATCTCTGCTCTCTGATCAGCCGGAATTTGCTGTTCGTTTAAGGTGCTCCAAGCTATACGTCTTATGTTTGTTTCTTTGTTTCTCTTTTCTTTGTCTGTTTATTTTGCATTAATTTCAAAAAGAGACAAGTGCAGCTAAATACATACTGAGGTAAATCTCACAACTGTTTTGAACATATCCGTTTGTTTTCATATGATAAGGCCGAAAAGTGCTCTTGCTTATGTACATGGATGTTCAAGTAGAATTGATTTTCTTTGTTTTGGTTCTCGTTAAAGGTATTGTTTTGTTCATCATCACTGTTCCTACGTGTAGGGGGAACGATCCACTAGGATTGTAGGAAATTTCAGTTTTATCTAAAATCACCTACAAGACTTGCCAAATTAATCATTTTTAATGGACACTGGTTTCTTAGAGTACTAATTACTTGGGAAAATGTGTGAGTAAACAAAGAGGTAAGCTACAGTGTGTGTTCAGTTTCGAGGACTCGGGTCTGTTAAAAAAGCTTCGATCACATGTTGAATTTTTTCCAATTACAGTAAAAATCAAACCAAATCAAAAGGCGTGACCTGAATTTGTGATAGATTAAGTTTATTTTTTTCTCTTTACTTTAAAACGCAAATATGGAAATGACGTTTTCAAAGGACTTCGCTTCTCATCAAAATCAAAAGCATAATCATATTATGGTATGCGTCTTTCAAAGTCAAAGGACCTTGACTATTCCTTTTTGATTTCCAAGCAAAGCTTTCGCCTTACAGCAAGAATGCAGGATATTGATGCAGAGTCTTTGTTAGATATAAATGAGTTTTTGCGCAATATTATTTTCTGGCTTACACGCAAACAAAATCATAACCAAATGGAGTGGGAAATGAGAAGCTTTGTTAATACGCGTTAAAATCTGGTTATTCGAGGGTCAGGAAATTAAGCATTCCAAGCCTATTACCAGACCCGTTCTAGATCTTAGAATTTGTAATAAAATTAGTCAGGTTTCAGCATTATTTACAGTCAAAGTGATTTTGTTTTTTTATATATACAGGAAATTGCTTACTAATGTCAAAGACATTCCCACAACACCAGTAGTCTGTTCCTAAGCGACTTAGCTTTGTGAGGAACAATGACATCATTGAGAAACCTCAAAGTAGTCCCTGTTTAATTACTAAGCACCATACAGCATTATGCATCAAATAAAACCCACCTACGATAATGTCTAGTGAAATATTAAGCTGTTTATTTCTAAAAAGAAACGAAGTGGTGCATAATTGGTAGGCACAGTTCGTCATGAAGCAATTTCAATTTTGGTTGTGTCTGGGGTAATTGACGCTGGTGCCACATTTGCATGAAGTCCTCATAATAGAAGTTGTTCGGGAACAAAAAACAAAAACTGAATCTTGAATCAAATTCCCGTTGGCTGTTATTGTAATAAAATCTTCAATAGATCTCTATTTTTAAATCTTCTGAGAAAAAAGAACTGAAGGAACAAGGATCGATCTCGATGGTACGAAACCGCTTTTTCGAGCAGTTTCCTATTAAATATTTATTTAGTTTAGCTCTTTCCTGAGCATATGTCAGCTTCGTAAAAGTTATTTCATTAAACTGTTGTTTTAACATCTATTCTTGACAGGTCGATGAAGAAGGACCAGTTACTGGCTACGTTAATCGCTAATACGCTAATCGCAGCTGATCCTTTTCTGAATCGAAGATTGCGGGTAAATCGTTGTGTTTCCTTAGCAAAACAACTCTAGCGTAGGAGACCCCCTTGAAGAAATCGAACATTGTGCCATATTTCATAAAAGTAGTGAAACAGCTGCAAATCCCTGTTTGTCTACGGCTAAGAGGAAAAAACAAAGAACAGAGGAAGTTAAAGAACACAAAGGAAAGCCTGACTCATTTTTAAGTGTGAATTCATCATTCATTTACTGATGCAACTAGCCGTGAACAACACATCCACTTCGGCTTCTTTTACACCCGACGCTGAAAGCTACTCTGGTGTAGACACAAATGTATTAATCCCGCTTTCCGTAACATGGGGTGCACTAGGTCTTGTGTCAACTGCACTCAACATCATCGTATGCCTGATAGTTCTAAGCGACCGACGGCTGTGGACAATTACTAACTCATTTATAGTGTCTCTTTCGGTGGCCGACCTACTTATAGCTGCTGCGCTCATTCCGATTTACATTTGCGAGAACTTTACTATGACGAAGACACCAATCACTGGGTATGTTATCGCCTTTCTACTTCTTGCGTCGATCTTCAACATCGGCGCGGTAACCTACGAGCGATACGTGGCTCTGACCAGACCACTCGGTTACCGGGTGACAATGAACGCTACCAGAGTAGCGGTGATCATCTCCCTGTGTTGGATCTTCCCTTGTTTCATCTCGATACTTCCAGTGGCTTGGGATGCTGATCCGATGTCGAAATATCACAAAATTTACCTGTTTGTTACTGTATTTGGCTTCGTTCTGTTGCCGTGCTTGGTGATGGTGTGGATTTACGTGCGTCTTCTCCGCGTGGTGCGCCGATTCATCTCTCGAAATCGAAGGCGGTCCACTTGGGGTAACAGAACGGGGGAGCGGGCGGGGAACGAAGACAAGGCGGTGATAGTGTTTGCTCTAATTTTCGGGATGTTTCTTCTCTCTTGGATGCCACTTATTTACATCAACATCTGTGAAATATTTGATCAGCTTAACCTGATCTCGTTGCCACTTCTCTATGTTTCGTTTTATACGTTGCTTTTCAACACCATCATGGACCCATTGATTTACGCGTTTTTGAAGAAAGACTTCAGCGAAAGTTTAAAGAGAAGGTTGAAAAAAGACGACTATAACACCCCAAGAGAAGAATCACAAGTAGAAATAACAATGGTTAAATCAAAATGTTAAAGAAATAGTCTAATATCAATTAAGATTAAGTCGTATTAATTTTTTTTATAGAGCTTTTAAGGCAGATTACTACAACATCAACAGATTCGCCATTATCAACTGTGATCGGAACTTCTATTTTTTTGCGCTGCTGTGTGGGATCCCAACCAGGAGTGACCCCGCAGGGTTTTTAGTGAAAGTCGGTTAACGTTGTTTGTTTTTCTCGCGGGCAGGCTCTCGTGTTTTTGTGGTTTTGCTTTATGGCCACTTAAACAAAAGGTTAGCGGACTCCCTGGTGACCAAAAATAAGTTTCTCCTTACAATATCAATCATTTTCAAAGAGAAACGCCATGAAAAGAAAAAAAAAAAGACAGCTTGGGGGAACTTGTTTGATGAAACATCAGAATCTCAGAATAAAAGTTATGACTAATGTATGACAGGGCGTGCGGAGAATTGATATTTTGTGCGTGAAAATTTTCACATGTCGGATTTTTTCTTGTATTCTTACAACACAAAAGGAAATCGCGTAAATTCGATTATCTTTTCAAGATTTATGGGCTCGATTGACAATTAGTTTCAGCTGAAATTTTTCTTTTTCAGTGAAATTAAGCCTGAAAACCTTTCACGATATCAAGTGGCCGTGAACATCAGTTTTACGAGCAGTTTATCTCGTATTTTTGTTTCTTCAGCAAAAACATCCTTTTGAACGCCACTTTTAACTTTCTTGGTGCACTTAATTAACTCGATGCATTATTGAACGATTTGAAAATGCTCGAATTCTTTTTTTTTTTTTTCTTTTTTTTCTGACAATGACGGTCAGACTTTAGCAAAAGCTAGCCAAGAAATACAAGGAGTTTTCATATTTAAAACCTGGTTGAGATTGCACTATTAAGATCAACTCTTTCACTTTTTCTTAATTAACTCGATGCATTATTGAACGATTTGAAAATGCTCGAATTCTTTTTTTTTTTTTTTTTTTTTTTTTTTTCTGATAATGACGGTCAGACTTTACTTTTAGCTTAATTTCGAGAGAGTTCAGTGTGAAAATCTCGTATCGCACTCTAAAATAGATTTATGCATCTTGCAATTGCCTAATCGGGTATATAAATTTTGACGAGTATGTAATTAATAAAAATGCACCCTTAGTAAAAATATATGAGTGGGTGTGGCCGAAGCCAACTATGAAATCGCTAGTTAATTTAAAAAAAGATAAAAGCTGCTCTACAGAAAGAAGAGACATTTTCATCTCAGGTGCACCATAGGGAAAAAACAATGTTGCATCTCGAGATCTTCCAACCCTACCTCCCCGTGATTTTCCACGAGTCATTATCTGACTAGGCAACATAAGAGACTTACGCTTAGTATAGGGGGTGATTCCTTGGAAAGTTGTTGATAAAATAGAACGCGTGTTAGAGTGGAGAATACTTCTTAATTATCTTATCTTATTTTCTTCCAGTAAAGTTAAAAAAAAGACATGATTTATTGAATACGTCTTCATAAATGGTGTTTCTTTCAAAGTGTTCCAAACCCTTTCAAATAACTATGAAAATCCTTTTCCCTATTCTACCTATCAGGTCTTAGATAATTCATTTCAATTTAGCAAAGAGAATTCAGCTTGTATCAAATAACACCATATACCTGGAACGTTTCTCAATTTTCGTAACCTTCCTGTTGGTATTGACAAGAGAAGTTGAGGTCCATCACTTTGGTTGAGAGGGGTTATCTCTCGCACTAGTATAAGCTTGAAAAAGGAAGTCTTCAAGTTGCACAATGTTAAGGGATTTGCCACACATCTTGCCACCCCGTTTGTCACTCGGAGATAAACTGGTCGTTAACCGTTTTTATTATATGACAGGGTAGTGCTGAGGTGAATCCGAGCGTGCGGTCGGGTTTGCCATACGGACCGTTTCCATAGGAACGGTCATAAACCCTGTATTTTTATTCTCCAAAACCGGCAAATCCAAAATTTGCAACTAAAAGCGCGGAAAGGGAACCCTTAAATATCCTCATTCTCTGTTAAAAAAACAACAACAACAACGACGACGACGACGACAAAAAAACTGGCACACAAGTCACCAAACGACTGATTACAGGTATGGAAGACGAAGAATATTAAGATCATTCACCAAGCAATAAAACAAGCCATGGTGAAAGCCAGGAGTCTATATTTTATGAACAAAAAGAAAGGCTTTCCAACAAAAATGAAGGTGGCTGATGATTTGAACACTCTCGTCCTCTGCAAAGATGCAAATGAAATGAAAAGCCAAGCATCCGACCCGGCTGCATCCAATCTTGACCACCTTTTGTCAATGTATATTTTTTAGGAATACACGTAGGAAAAATGAGTGCGAGCCGGCAACAATTTCCGGTTTTCAACGAAGTTGACAGTGACAGCGATACTTATGCCAGAGGAAATATTCATTTAACCTATCCAAGGACAATGTGCTTGAAAAATCGAGAATAGCACAACCTGCGGAGTACAAGTAGAATACGCTTTGCCGATTGGCGAAAGCGAAGATCTTTTTTTTGAAGCCGGAGGATTCGACAACTCCAGTCTAGTTTCACTTCAGTGAACGGTATGGTGGTTTTTATCACTACATTTCGGTTTCCGAGCTTAAGATGAAAACCGTCTCTTGTGATTTAACACTGAAAGAATTTGTTTTCAAACTCGTGGAGGCTTGGTCTTTCTTAGTTGCTCACGTCATTAAAAACATGTCACGGCGAAAGCCCTTTGAATTAAAGAGACCGGAAGTGCTATTTATAGATAAAATGAATAAGTTTTGTCCGAGCGCCGTATGTAATAAATTACTTACCAACCTTGATTGCTCGAGGCGAACTGGGGAATATTGGCCCTCGGTCGTTTTGTACGGACCTCGCTGCGCTCGGTCCGCACTGCAACTACCGGCAGAACAATAATTCGAAATGTTGGGAGAATTGAATCGGTTAATTCACTTACTCTTAAAAATCATTCAGACTGTTCGCTCAACAACTAATTATTGTTTGTAATCCCGAGAGTTTACCGAACAATTACCGAACACTGAAAGCACCGACGAATGTGACTCGGCTACTAAACCGGAAAGTTTAGCCTCAAGCTGGCGTGGTTGAGAATCCAAGATGGCGGGTGCCAGTGTTGGTTAGCAAATAGTTACTCTTTGTCGTTCTGTGCTCATGATTTTGTTGGGTTAATTAGCTGCTTCGTGTCAGAGAAGCTTTCATTCGTCATTTAAATCGTGTACTTATTTTATTCTCACAGTAGTACCCCGCAATTTTCGCTTGCTCGAGGAACTCGAAGAAGGTCAGAAAGGAGGTGACGGTTTTGTTAGCTGGGGCCTGGAGGACGACGACGATATGAACTTAATAACATGGACCGGTATGATCCTTGGTCCTCCAAGAGTAAGTTTTCAAGGCTATGAAATACTGTTGGTTTTATTTAAAACCTAGTTAAACGGATTACTTGCTTTGATTTTGTTAATTTAAAAGCTTAAAGTGCGTGAAATTATCAACTTGAAGCTTCATGAACCTCCCAATGCAATCACAACCTTCGACGGACTTAGTTTGTATTTGGAAAGTAAAATCACGCTTGCTTTTTTCTTCTTGGAAATTTTTTTTTTACTTTTTTGATGTCGGGTACAGTAAAGCCTTTGCTCGCTTACCTTGACTTGATCTACGGGTTACGTGTTACGTTAACGCTTGCACGCCTTAATTAGAACATCAGATCAAAATCGTTGTATTTTTTTATTAATCAGAGCAATATGATTGTTGTAAGCCTGATTCGAGTTCAAATAAATTGTTCTACTCAAATTACACCCCTTCTTATCAAAGGAAAAGCCAGAAAGATAATTTATGAGGCCGTGCGGACAGTGCAGAGGGCAGTTTGGAAGTTGTTTGGGTTCCTATTCTTGATCAGTTGCAACCAGACATTTTGTTTCATCTACAGTTTTACCCAGTAAGAGTTCACCTCCACGATGGCTAGTTCAGCCCTTTAATCGATAAAAACTAATCATTTGCTGCACCTTAGATTTTTTCACTCCCCAGAAATTCTCAGTAATTTGGAAGAATGTTCTTATCCAAATTACTATCTGTTAGTCACCAAAATATTACTGAAAGCCAGGCTTTTGTTGTGAGTCAAGGCAATTCATTGTCTGCTTGTTTTTCTTTTGCTATGATCAGTCACTGCAATTTGGTGTGTTTGTGAGATTCTGTCTAAAAAAATCTACAACACTGTGGACTTGGAATTCAGCGCTCTAACCATTATGCCACCATGTCTCCTGCCAATTGGTCTTAACCCTTCAACTCCCAGAAGTGATTAATATTTTCCAGCAAAATAGGTGGTGAGAATATTCAAACCTATTAGGTAGAAGTCATTATCCTGATTGAACACCAAACTCATGCAACTAATTTACTAAGAAATGTGTAACAGCCTGAGGGGAGAATTAATTATTAGATCTTGGGAGTTAAAGGTTAAGGTAGTCTTTACCTTTATCTTACTTTTTCTAAACCTACTTGTATAGTACTATGTAATTTGTCCACTGTCATGAATTTTTAATTTAATTGTTTATGAATGAAAAAAGGAGTAATTTTGGTGATGTGAATCTGGCATGTTATCTTTTCTTTTAGCCTTTTTTCATTCTTTAAGAAGAATTAGCATCCAATTTCTCCCATCACTATTATAACTGCATCAAAAATTGTGCTCTTGAGAATAAAGGAAATGAACACAAGGTTATGAAGTTCATGATTATTAAGCAAATTCTCCTGGTAAGTACTTTAGGAAACATATAGAGAACAGTATAGAGAACTTTGAAAAAGGATGTTAGGGTTAACCTTTTCTTTGTTTTTATCTTTACTCACAGACTGTATACGAAAACCGAATATATAACCTCAAGATAACATGTGGTCCTAAATATCCAGATGACCCACCTAATGTGCGGTTTAAAACTAGGATAAACATCACTGGAGTGAATGCTACTGGTGTTGTAAGTAGAAACAGACTTTTAGTTGCATGCAAATCTACTGTTCCTTACTTAATGAATATGCAAAGCAATGCATATACACTGTACATGTACATCTGATGTGTCTTTGTTATTCAGTATAATGTTTCTATTGTGTTGCTTTGTTATGCAAAATAAAGAACTTTTGGGTCTGAAAAAGAAATGAGTTGACAACCAAAATTTCCATTTTGAAATAAGCTATAATTTTACACACATGCAC